GGGGGCTCAGCACCACCAGGTCTATGTCATTTAAAAAACCAAAATTCTCCGTGGATTTTGCTCAAAAACGTCGACCAAAGACACAAAGACGTAATTTTGCCGTCTAAAGACACTACAGCTTTTGAAGTCACCAGACTGTGGATAATAATAATATATATTTTTTTGGAAACGCAACAAAGTCTTAACTGTTTTAGTATCTTCTTTTGATGATGATGATGATGACGATGATGATGATGATGATGATGATGATGATGATGATGATGATGATGATGATGATGATGATGATGACGATGATGATGATGATGATGATAATGTGCGTCTATACCCCCTCCCTCAATATTGCATTATTCTGTCCCCATGGTTTTATGCACCCCGCATAATTTAGCAAAATTTGAATTTTTTTTGCATAATTTTTCTGATTATTTTCCTTGATTATTCTTTGTTAAAATTAACAGAATCGCATAATTTCACATTTTTGGGCTCAGTTTGCATAATTTCCGAATGTTTCTTGCTTAAAACTACGGGGACAGATTATTATGGTAATGCTGACTCCTTCAAGGCTTGCCGACTTCTGAGTAACGGCTGACTCCGAACTTCGGCACACACGAGTAGACTACATGTTCGCTCGGAGTCAAGAGTTGGAGCAGGAACAGGGTTCGACTTTCTTCATTATTATAATAACATAACAATATGCAAAAATAATAATATCCTTCCTCCACTTTTCGGCCATGTAACCGAATGAGGATTTAAAGATTAAAAGCCGGCGCTTGTGAACTGTGTGCCTAGTAGGTCGTTGAATTGTAATAGACAGTAGTAAAAAGCTCGTAGCGTGGGAAATAGGTTGTTGGTAATATCTTAACGCTCATTTAATATCGTTTTGTTTTTTTAAGATGGGGCTCTCCTGCCACTGGCATTCTTGGGAAAACTTGCAATGACCGCTGCAAAGAGCTGGGTAAAAGCAGAGGAAGCTGTGTGCGCTCTCGCTCAATTTGCCCAATTATCCACAAGGCTTACCAATGCCACTGCTACTAGGAAAGATTTACAGGTAAGTGAGTGTTGGCGTGAAAATAGAGTAATAATAATGGATAAATTATAGTTATTGCATACGTCCTTTTAAAAAAGTTATTGCGCCCTACTTCTATTTTGTACATCTTTTCAAAAGAGAACGTGAACCATTTCACATACGTAGAGACGTCTAGACGTACATTGTAGGCCCTATACAATATTTTTGTGATATACTGGCGATAAAGAAGGCAGGCTACCACTTTTTGATCGTGTATACGCGTATAAAAATCTAGTCTGTTGGGTCTTTGCACGCTTTTCATTTCACGTGAGTAATTGTAGTAATACTGAGTATTCAAAAAAGTAGACATGTTATGAAAGTATCATTTTATGGTGCTTTAATTAGTGTCCACAGCATCAACGTTAAACAAAAGAAAGCTGGCATTCTTCCCGACCACGTGGCAGTTTTTTTTCTTCTATCCTTTGGTTTAAAAAAAAGTGAAGTTAAGTTATGTGTTTTCCAAAAGCCGCAACAACATAATTTGATCATTGCCACACAAGGAAGAGACATGTAGTAGGTTTACTCAAAATCAGAGACATGGAGCCATCTGCATGTCCGCGCGTTTCGGCTGCTGCCAGGACAGTCAACGTCTGCTTAATGCGGAGACATTGAGTCCCTCAAGCAGTAATCTTACTTTCTTGGGTTTTACTTAGTGTGCAGATCTGGCACGGGTTGTATAATGTTTATAAACATTGATGTCATAAGCCGTCTCTTTGTGTCCATACATATGTGTGGATGAGATAGAAGGGGGGCGAGCTGATGGATGGAGGTTTGTCTTTTTGAGTTCGTATGTCTATTTCTCTACCTTAATCTAAGGACCCGTTTTCTGTAAAAATGTTGCCAAGATATCAAAACTCCTTTGCCTGTTTCAGTTGGTCATAACATGTATTCACTTGAATGTTCAGCGGACTATGATTTCGGCTGACTTTCACGACTCCAGTTTTTTATGTGCGTATTTTTATGTCAAATTTGTCACTGCTTTCGTTGGGTTCGGTGGTGTGACTTTGGAGGTTTTATTGGCTTGCAAATGGAGGTTCATTCAGGCTTTCTAGTCTTTGGCTTTCGTCTTGCATTATTTTGTCCACATAGAGTATGAAAAGAGGGCGTGATAAATAACATTCCTGTCGAACTCCTGAGGTTACTTCGAACCAGTTGGTGTTGCTTTCTTTAGTTCTTGCAGTACTTTTCCTGTCGTTGTAAAGAACGCTGACATTGTCCAAATAAAAGTCTTTAAAGCCATAATTATAATTTCAGTGTTTTCCATAGTTTTATTTTATAGTTTTAGTAAGAGTTTTTCGTCATTAGCAAAAGAGTAAGTTTATATGCGTGCCGAAGATTACATGTGATACAAGTATAAAAAAGTAACAGACACAAAACAAGGAGCAGAGATCAGAACGTTAAATGTGAGTTAGGAAAGAAGGAGCAAACCACACCAAAGCACCGCCAACCATCCGCTTTTTCAAAGTTGTTTTTTTTTTGGAAAGTGTTTTACGGCGCTTGCAACTGCATACGGTCATAATATGAGCACGCGGGACAAATAAAAAATTTTCAGTTGATAGGAAATTTTGAATTTTGCCCGGATGGCGGCGAAGCCTACTCTCATCGAATTTAGACCATCAAGGGATCTTTAACGTGCACAACTTGCACACGGGACCTCCGAGATTTTTCGCACTTTTCCGAGTAGGTGTAGATCTTTCCTACCACGAGATCAGGGGTGTGGCTGAAAGACAGCAGCAAGAAGGAGCCAAGGAGTAGCAGTAGAAAGGCTGCAGAAAGAGAAAGGAGCCCACAAGAGGGGGGCAAAGGGGGTGAGGGGGTGGGGGCAGAAAATGGAGACAAAAGCAGACGACAGAACATTGCTGGAGAGCAGGAAAGGAGGTGAAAGGAGACAATTTTAGAGAAGATTGTTTTCAGTCTTTATCCGGGACCTTTCAATGAGAGGCGAACACCTTAACCTCCAGGCCACGTGAGCACCCTTTTCAAAGTTTGACACGGTTGACTTATTAATATGTTTGTATATATGTATCCTTTAATTGAAAGTCTTTGTACCGTATTTTGCCTATATATATATATATATATATATATATATATATATAATATTCATGGTGTATATTTATTTTTCAGGAGCCTGTACGTCCAAGAATATCTACATCGTCAGGACCACCACGCCGAGGCAATTGGTGCAAACATATTGATATGATCTGATCTACACTTTCCAGGAACCCGAATTCAAAATTTTGAAGTCTAATTTTATTAAACAAGAGGATAACGCGATTTCGAAAATAAAGAAAAAATAATTGTGAAGTTTCACGTACACTTTGATGTTCTGTTGTAGCTTTATTTTTCATTTTCTTGCATTTTTGTTAAATTTTTTT